GTATATGGTATATGGTATATATGTGTGGTGCATAGACTGTAGCTCAGGATCGGTCCCGCGCTCCTCACATCATTGCAGAGCCCGGGGTGGTGAGTTGTGGCCTGTAGGCGGCGCCACAGAGGCCGCTCCCGTGTAAAAACAACATCTCACCTTCTTCCTTTAGTCCAAGTGCTGGAGCACGTTAGAGTGACCGCGGAGAGCGTCGGCTGTCATGGAGTTCAGCGTTAACACGGCGTGAATAGCGAAGAAGAGGGGGACTTTCGAGTCGGAGGAGCGGAGCCACGAGTCGAGCCATGGCCGCCCGGGAGGAAGGAGAGGTCCCGCACGGCAAAACAAGGCACCGCGACGGGGCTGGAAGTGTAAACAGCTCGGAGGGCTTCAGGAACGGCTACGTGAAGAGCTGCGTCACCCCCCTCAAACAGGACCGCGAGCGGGGCTTTTTATTCAACGTGTGCAGGTTTTGTAACGAAGACGTGATCAACTCCACGCTGTTAAAGGTCTCTGCCCTCTACGTGGGCGCCTTCGCGGTCGTCGCGGCGTCGCTCCTCGTCTCCCGGAGCCTGCAAAGTGACTCGCCGTGGGATTTGCGGACTTTCCTGTGGGGCTTCTCGCAGTCCGTCAGCCCGCTGTTCAGCATCGGATGTGCTTTCTTCTTCCTGACGCTGTACCTGCGGAGGAAGAAGCAGGGCAGCAGCAAGTGTTGGCTCGCCTCGCTGCCCGCGTCCTGTTACCTCGGGGATTTTCTGGTGTTGCGGTTCCTGCAATGGGGAGAAGAGCAGCACCAGATGCAAATGGTGGGCAGGTTGTTGTTCGTGCTGGGATGCGTGGGTCTGCTCACGCTCATCCCGACTCTCAAACTCAAACACAGCGTGCTCGTGCTGGTCTTCGCCAGCGTCGTGTGGCTCGTCTCCTTCACAAGTTTGAGCGGACTGCCCGCGCTGCTCCGGCCGCTCTTCGCCTGCATCGCCGGGGTGTGCGGCTCCCTGACGGGGCTCTGCTTCGACCGTTACTACCCGTCGAGGGAGGCGCCGAGCGGGACCTCCGGCGCGGAGGAGAAGGTCCCCGTGATCAGACCCCGGAGACGGTCCAGCTGTGTGTCGCTGGGGGAAACGTCCACCAGCTATTATGGCAGCTGTAAAATGCCCCGCAGACCCTCGTTGCCCTGTATATCCAGAGAACAGGTAGGTCCCCCCCCCCCATTCCCTCCTGCAGGACCATGTGTGTTGTTTTTAAAGACAGTAGGCCCACTGGTCCTCCACAGCTGCACATGTGCATGAGATGAGGAAAACACACAAACAGCACTGACCTGCAGGAAAACACTAACCCCATCAACCTAACAGGAGACCTCCAGAGAGAAACAGCTCAGTTAAGAAGGCCTTAAAGACAAGTTTGTGTTGTGAATGGCTTCACTTTGCCATTCCAGCTACACTAACATTATATTTGACACTATTATAATGTCAACATTTACTTTAAACATTAGTTTAAACTTCACCCAATTATTTAAAGCTTGAAATTAATTATCAGCGATTCACTTCCTTGCAAGACATTGCTGATACTTGATTACAAGTGTATATCAGCAAAAGATTGCTTGATATTTATAAAACAAGTAGATTTTAACCATTCAATCTTCTTCAATACATACCCCTTGTTGGAAATTTAATAAAAAGATGATGAAACAGCTTTTTCTCTCTAATTGAATATCAGCAATTGCCTTTTCTGCAAAACGTTGCTGATATAACACTAGGCCCACGAACATACTCTCAACAGAACGAAGATATTGTACTGCATTATATGTAGTAGCTGATGTTTAATTAATTACATGCACTTTCCTGCAACACTTCTTGCCATCACTCGTGTTCTCCGTTCTGTTGGGAATATATTCCTTTAAAAGTTCATACACCATATAAACAATGGAGTGTGAGTTTAGAAGTTGTACATTAGAAAAACAACACCAGCAGCAAGCCCAGTGATGTGGCCCATACAGTCCCACATGACTGTAGTCCTCAGTCAACAAAACACGATGATGGTGAGCACAGGCAGCAAAGATTCACTGTTTCTTTTTCCTTTTTCTTTGCTTGTACACATGAGCCTGTGCAAGCTTGTATGAAACCAGTGTGTTTACATACAGTAGCTCGCAGGGTCCACCGCAGAGAGAAGCTCCTTTCTCCTCAGCATGAGTTTTTGTAAACCAATACACCTATATCGAGTGATATCCACACCAAATGAAGACTATCGTGTTGCATGCTAGTATGTGTGCGGGACCAAAAAAAGCTGAAGCAAGCGGCTTTCTTCATTTGTGTGCAGACAAAGGGGACAAGTGACAGTAGTTAGTATTTTCAACAATATATTTTAAAACACAAAACATGCAGCTCCTCTGTGGATGCCAGTCAGCTCACACACATTGTTTGTGTGTCCTTCAAGCGTAGTAACGAAAATGATAAGGGTCTAAAAATGTAAGTCCAGTTTGCCTCAGTTTCCAGCAGTTGTTTTTCCACCTCATTGTGTTAAGGCTGTTAGCAGATTAGCAGTCACTCTGAGTCAGGCATTAAACATTGCATTAAAACTAAAAAATAAGAATTTAAAATCTCTCCTTTTGTGATCCTAAATTAGTTTCCCTGTTTTTTTGTTAGTAGTTATGTACAACACACAGTTTTCATTCAACAAACCGTGCGGTTTTTTTGTAAATTGCTAATTGGTTTTTAATTGATTTGTTCAGATACCTAATTGTTTTCTTGTCCCAGGTCCCTGAGCTGATCGCTGAACCGCTTTTATCCTGTTTGAAATCGACAGAAATGTGCAAAATGTATGAAAAGAACAACACAACACTTGTGCTAAAGTGGTGGATAAGATGCACTCGACTGCGTGAAGTCACGAACATCTTATCAGCTAAATGTCGTGACATGCATTGTAGTCCGTATTGAGTCAAAAGATAAGCAATGTCTATTGTCATCACCCTTGTCGTCATCACACTGTCCTTAAAAAACACGTGGCAGTCTCACAGTAAACAGTTTTAAGTTTTTTGTGCCAGGTGCACTGAAGTAGGTGAATTGCCTGATAGTTGTGAATTTGTGGGATGAGCATAAGCCCTATTTTGCAGCTTACTGGCAAAATGTCTGGTGTATTGTGGCTACTGCATGCTGGGGATAGATCTTTATCATTAGGATGGTATTATATCTCACAATAGCCCATAACGATGGGAAAAGCTTTGTTAGATGGTCTTTAAAAAGGTTTTCTTCTAGTTTTTCCTCGAGATGATGGAAATGTTCAAAATTTTAGCTGCTAGTGTGAAACCCTGCTTATCAAAGAATTTAGTGCGCAAATGAAAAACTATAAACCAAGCAGAAGAAACAAGTTTTTTGTAATATTGCACCTCCACATATTAATGTTTAATTCTATACAAAAACCGTCAGTTCCTGCGTCAGAGAACGGCACAAAGAGGCACAAAGGAAGACTTTGAAAGGAGTCACTCAGGGTTCACTGGTGATGTCACGCATGTTCTTTCACTCGCAGAGAAGAAGGAGGTTGTATTTTTGGTCACAGCAACACGTGGTTTCATATACAGCAAGTTCGTCATCACTGTAGACGCATGGTTCGGCATAGTGATGAAAGATGGGGTGTTAGTTTAGGTCTTGATAACAGACACAAATGTGTGAATTAAGTCTTAAAACTAGAGGCAGAAAATGTTGCTATTAAAACGCTTCATCCTCTAATCTTTTTACTGTCAAGTGCTTGTTTAAATCACATGAAAGGACATCGCTGTAAAAGACAACAGTTTTACCATCAGTCTTTAATTGTGTGGATTATATGTTCAACTACAGACATGGTACTTTTCCTGACGCCGAATAACTATAACAGATAGGTCTCACTGCTGAGCAGAAACTTACCAAGACTCATGCCAGCCAGCACACTTAAAAATGTGTAGTGACGTAAACACAGCTTTTCTTTTTATCCACGGTAAATGAACATGGTCTAACTACGAGGTGTCGCTATACAGAGAATCCACTTCATCTGTTCACTTGCACATCATTGCACGTGTGTATTAACACTCACGTTAAAGTGAAGACACTCAGTAATGACTATATCATAACTTTCTTTAAATCACTGGTAACTGGAAATAAGCAAATTTGAGATTTCAGGAGTCGTTAAACATTTAATATGACACATTCATTTTTCTATAATTCACCTTTTCACACCATTGTGAGAATCATTTTGCCATTTCTTGTTTGAACCATCTGATATGTTCAAAACCACTCTGCTAATGTGGATACAGACTTACTGCAAGTTGAAGGCTTCATGAATATTCAAGCTAAAAGTGCTGCTTCTGACAAATGTGCCCCATGGCAGGAAATACTCCAGGGTGAGAGATGTGCCACCAGTGTACGCTCGTACTGAATTTTGATATTTAAAATAGTTGGCTTGTTAGTTTATTATTTGCTTGTTGTTTGGCCGTTAATCGTTTGTCATGTATATGAAGGAATTTCAGAGCAGCAGCAGCACAGATCAGAAGTGGTAATACCTGAGTAATATTTGCACCTAAAAATACAAACATGCCAGAAAATAGTTTGTATTTATTCTAATTTGAAGTTCAACTTTAGGACACGAGTATGAACATATTTTTTTTCAAATCAAAAGTTCTAGATATTTAAGTGTTGACAGAGACATGAGCCAGATGTGTCATCAGGTATTATGACACAAAAAATGCATTTAATGTATTTAGTAGTTACTTGTATATTAATTCTGGCTGCAGTGTGTAGACAATGTGATAAACTAAAACAAAGACCTTGGATCTCATGTTCAGCAGGAGGGTCCTGCTTTGTTCTTAAACTACACTAAAGACATTTGGCCACTAGTGGTGCTATAGAGCAACAATTTGTCGTGTGTACTAACCTTTTTTAAATACAGTGTATAATACTAACAGCACACACATGCGACTGCAAATGCGTGGCCAGAATATTTACTGAGGAGGCTAATAAGGCTTATAATCTTTTCAATGTAAAATCTTCTTCTGTGATCAAGGGCTATGTAGCTAAGGTTTTAGGACATTACTGTTGGTAGTTGGGCCTCGTCAAACTGCCTTAAAAATAGTTTTCTCGCTGATTTACTGACCACAACATGAACGTTTAAAAGCAGTGATTTATGGCACAATATAACACAAGATTACCAGTTCATGATTGGACAAGTTGAATGAGTCCTTAAATAAGGGCAGCAGCTTGGGAGAATGGGAATGCACTTGCTTTGTAATATGTATAGTACGTTTCAGTGAGAAACAATGAATGTAAACATAATTTAATGAGTGTTCATTTTACAAGTATACAAGACAGATGCAAAAGTTCATATATATGAATGGAAGGCATCAATTTATAACACATAAAACTATGACAGTTCTTTCTGATATTAAATGCATTTCTAAAATTAAATGACTGAAAAAATATGCAGAGTTAAATAGAAACTTGGCCTACGTTTGTATTGAGAACAACATATTTGGATTTTCCTTCAGCTCTTCAAAGCTTCCATTGAAAGTTTATTTCAACAGACCATTATTGTCTCCAAGTGCCTATATGATACCTTAGATAAGGTTGTCAAGTGTCTAAATTTGAACTGACTCTGAACTTCCAATGAGCTCTACATGTTAAAACAAAAACCAACACACTGTATAGCTCCATAGATTGCCTACAGATTTAGAACACCTAATTCAAATTCAGCCGTGTGATGGGACACATTTCAACAGATACTTGTCTTTCTAGTTTCAACATGTTGATGTCAATCTCCTGTTTCTTATACAGGAGTATTTTTAACACCAAGAGGATGTAAGTATGATATACCCGTCAAGCAAATATTGCTCTATACTGCTACAAGTTTTAGTTTTTAAATGCTCTTAAGTTATTTTTAAATGAAGGGTGGTGTGACATCAATTAATATTCTTTGAATATTATTTAAAGAATCCTATGTCAACTCTGATGAAAAAATATTGTCCTAAATCGAATTGTACAATGTCACATGAGTGATCCATACCGCTATTGTCTGTTCATGATCTTAAAGCAACGTTCAAACAAACTACGAGCATCATTTTCTTGACATGTTACAGTCACGCTGTGAGTCAAATTAAGCCACTTTATTCTTAAATCAATCGAAGGAGTATGTTTTTCCCCTTGTGATGAGGCTGTCTCTTAATGACTCGTAC